CTCTCTGAACCATAATTAGTGTTGTGTGATCTTTTAGATACTTGAAAATGAAATGAATTAGAAGAATAAGTTTACGGTAGCACCATGCGACAAGATATCTCTGTTCTGGATTGTGACTTGTGAGGGTCTGAAAGAACCGGAGTTTCCCCCCTTTTTTTTCCCAGAACCTCACAAACTCACAAAAGCGATCTGTTGTCACGCTATGCGATCGCAAAGTAATACTTATTGCTTGCAATTCTTCCCGTCTTATCGGAATGGATGAAGTGCGTAGATTAAAGGGCCCTACGATGAATGTTTCTTAGGAACACATTTTGAGCAACTTTCTTCACCTCGTAAATGTATGAAAACTATTTCATATCCCTTTTTGGTTAATTTTATTGAAAGTGCACTTCTTTAAACATTTAAAACTTGTCCATGCTTTTCCGGACAACTGAGGGCGTTGTTGCTATGGTGTCATTTCAGAAACACACTGTTCGGTGGTTTTTTGTTCCAATTATAACCTAAAATTTGCTCATTGGCTTACTGCCATGTACTTGCACAACAATGAATATCACTAAAAGAAAAGAAACTAAATATCCAAAAATTCTACCAACTTTTTCTGTTGAAAGAGCTGTAACATTGAGGTTTCTGCCCTGAATCACATCACAGAATATGGAAATTCGTATTAGCATATAAACCAAAAAGGTACTAAAATACTCTCCAAAATGGCGAAACGAAAATTGAAAATAAGGTAAAATGGGACACAAAGGTGCGTTTTCAAGGGGAATATTAAACAAATTACATTGCATGGGCCCTTTAATATTGATGTGTTCACTTTAAGTGACAGTATTTTGTATAAAGGGTCGTTTTGTGGTCTCGTGCAACACTTTTAGGGTTGGCTCTGAAAGAACCAGTAAGCTGGACGTTTCCAAAATTATAATTTGTTTATTCACAGAAGAATGGACCCCCCTTCTGTTTATTAAAGGTACATGAGATGATTTTGCTTTTGGGTCATTTTTTTCTCGTTTGCAGCAAGAGAATCTTAAGAAGCTTCCATGACAAATAACTTCAGCCCAGTGGATAGGCCTACTATATATTTTGAGGAAAACAGAAAAAATGTAGGCACAATTTTTGGGGTCTCTTACAACTTAATTGCATTGCTAACGCAAGTAAAACTGTGCCAGCGGGCACACTCTCTTAAACCTCCTTCAGTGATTGTTTCCTTCCGAATGGTACAATTTCAGGCAGAATAATTTCACAGGGTCCTATCTTCTCCTTGAGGAAGGATTTTTTCGTAAAGTTGGTTAAAGTTGCCGGGTAAATTGCAAATGTTCTGAACAGTGCGCATATTGACCAACACGATACGCCTTCGGGTCAGGTGATTACCGAGATTATGATATCTCGGTCAAACCATGGTCAAACTAGGTCGTACCCGTAAGCACGGCGAGAACTATACCCAAACCAAAGGTGGTCGGGGTTAGGGTTAGGCCCTATCGGGAGCAGTCCATTCCATTCTGGACTACCGCGAAATCCTTAACCATTTAAATCTCTATTATACATTCAATCTGCTGTACTTAGTGGAATACCGTCTGCAGAAATCAACATTGTCATGTGAATGTCGATTACTTGAGAGAGAAGAAAGGAGGTAATACTAAAAGACCCGTGCAGTCACGTGACTGTCAATTTGGATTTTTTTTTTAGATGACAAGCACACGCTTTACGAATGCGTTATGCCGTGCAACACTTGGTCAAGTGACGTCATCTGCACGAGCTGTATGACTGCTGTGAGATCATGCTCTCTATTCGACTGCATGGGCTTCAAGAGCCTGCGTGGTTGATGCGGCATTCGGTGATGTACATGAACGTCGCATTCGACATGATCACGTATCATCAAGTCAGATTGGGCTGGCTTTAGGCCTTACAAAGAAGGATGTCTAGTAAAGAGACCACTCTCAATCCTGCGCCGTCCCATCTTACAGCATCAGAGCTTCTAGAGCATGTCAACTTAAATTGAAAAGATCTAGAGTCAGTACGTGGACGGTTTAACCCTAAAGGGGCCGGGTTATTTTGACCATCTCTCAGCCGGGGGGGGGGGGGGGCGGATTCCGCCCCCCCCCCTAAGATCTCGGCCATCGAGTGACGAAAATTTTTGAAACTCAGCACATGCATAGAGCAACTCTTCCTTAACATGCCCAAGAAATTTCATGACTATAGGTCAAAGGATTTTGGAATTATGGCTAATTAATTATTCATATGTATGAATGGCAATTCTGCTCGGTGTACACGACATATATGCGAAAATTCAGTTTTCACGGCGCGTAGCGCCGGAAAATTTTTCGCTACGTGCCAACCCGTGGTCCGATTTTTATGTTTTTGGTATCAAAAGATGTGCAAAGCTCGAGGCTAAAAAGTCATAACAGTTCGGGTCGCGAAAAATTTTTTTTTAGAAGCTATCGCGGAAAATGTTGAGGGGGGGGCGGATTCCGCCCCCCCCGGCCCTTTTAGGGTTAAAGAAGGAAATTGACACAGTTTCGATTCATGCAAATGCTGTCCTGTTTATTGTATTCCTCCGATTTGCATTTTCTAAAAACAGTTTCCTTTTGAATACCGGTACCTGTTGAAGAACAAATCCACCCTCGGCCTATCCCACAAGCCGGTCGGGCACTCGGGCTCTGGGTCTGTTGTTTACTCATCGCTGAACTCTTCATCTGCTGCGACCCTGTAACGCGATCTGTGCCAGCAGCTAACTGAAGAAAGAAAATAATTCAGATCGCCCAGGTACTTGCTCGATTTCTGCACACCCTCTACATGCCCTTTGGGGAAGGAAAGGGAAACAACGGTCGCGTGCGGTCGCAAACTTTACAGCAAACCATAGTGACGCCTGACCATCATCGTTTCGGCTCCGCAAAGACCGACCTGAGTTGCGCTGGTAGGGAGGAAAAAATGCCGATACGTAGACCTGGGACACTTGTAGTTGGCTCATCGTAGTGTGGGTAATGACCTAGCCAGGACCCTTGGGCTGAAGAATAAGGGTTAGAGATTCGGTGAGTCCGTACATATACGGACTGAAGGCACATGGGAATGATGTCCTTATGAATCAGCGTGGAAAGCCTTGTTCGGTCTCCAGAATGCATTAATTTTGATGAGAGATTGTTTAGGGCATTTTTTTGTGTCATTATCTTGTTTGTGTTGATTCTCCTGACTCGGAAAATCGTGAAGACAATGCCTGGTACGGTCATCCAATAATACCCCAAAAGAAAAGTTTATGTTTCGTTGATAAGCGATTAAAAATGGTCTCCCCCCACTGCTTAGAACATTTTCTTCCATCTTTTGTGCAGCGTTTTCAGGAACCTCTGCCTGTGTCCATTTCACTACAAACTGTATTCACTCTGATTACGTGCGTGTTTTGCATCTCGGGAATACTTGTAGAGAAAACTCTTTCAGACAAAACGATAACATAGATTTTGGGAAAATGCCGCAGGTGTGAAGGCCTAGTTACTGTAACTGGCATAGCGAATAAAAAATGGGAATTAGGCCACAAAAAAAATAGTTGGTCTCTGGTCAGCGCGCGCGTCGATTTTAACCATGCGCGTCAATCTTTTTTTTTTTCAAAAATGTTCCGCGGTAGCTCCAAGAGCGCCCTCTATTGCCGCACCTCCTCAAATGTTGTTACCAAAGAGCACCAAGGAATGGGAAATTGCACCAAGGCAAATGATTGAGGGTACTAAGGCAAATTATGCAGGACACCAATGTACATGAGGACACAAAAAAAAGCAAAATAGTACCCCACCCTGTCTGTACAATCCAAGCTTGAAAAAAAAAAAAGGCAAAAAAAAAAAAAAAGCCGCGTCGCCGCATCAATTCCAGAACTTTGGTCTGACCAGAGACCGAGTATTTTTTTTGTTGGCCTTAAACAAAGAATATCGTTGGCCGATTGTTCATCTTATCATATAGTTTGAAGGCACGTTTGATAGACTCCTGACTATATTAAACAAAGAGGCATGTCTTTATGATTTCAATATCAGCCGGAATAGGAAACAGTAAACGGATATATTTTGCAAACATTTTGAGAATTTTGTTAAATGCCATGCGAAAAATATGCGACCTGAAATTTATCTCATGCCAAAGAGAGATTTCGCTGTTAGTTCGAATAATGCCTAACCCAACGGATCTGTTTTGCAAAGATGCAATTTTTTGTGGTAAAAGTATGTGCACTGAAATTGTTATGTAACTACATGTATTTATAATGTAAAAGGATTTTTTTCGAATGTTGGTAAATCCAACACGGGAGGTATTTTCAGCCCGCTCGAACGTCATGTGATAAAAATATGTGTACTGATATCATTTGAACTATCCAAAAAAGTGAACGATTTTTTTTTTTGGGGGGGGGGGCAAATCTTGGTGAATCCAGCACGGCAGGTATTTTCAGCCCATTCTGTCGGCGTCACTGCCTGACCTATGCCAGTCCAAAACCCCGCGAGCGTCACCCGTCTGCAATACGAGGCGATTAATTTGTTCCAGGCACGTCCCACGCTTGAAAATATTGGCCGAGCGATGCCGCAGCGCTGCCGATTCTTCTCTTTGCGGGTGGATTACGGTGTAGGAGGCGGCGCATGCTATATAGACCGACAGACTAGCTTACCAAGCCCAGATCAGTCGATAATAGCCAAGGACTCTAGCTGGAGTGGGTCAGGTAACAAGAGCCAGCCTATGACCTGTGCTGAGCATTTCAGGCCTCTCGCGCCAGTACCACTTAGCACGCGCCTCGCAAGCTCGTGTGTTTATGAATATTAAGATTTGTATGATCGCCGACTGCCTGTTTATTTTACTTTTCAGGCTTTTGTTACAAGGTGATAAATGGTTGCCATGGTTATGAACACCGGCCGCGATGGTACGAGAAAAACAAACAAGTCCTGTCTGAATTGCAGCGCAAACATGCCGTCGTATCATTTGACAGGGTAATGTTCGGCTTTTTTATCGGTCTTCTTTTTTTTAATTTCCTCTTTCTTTCTTACAGGTGCTGAGTTTCAATCCAGAGAGTCGCTGACACGATGACCACAGAGTCAACAGATTCCAGAACGCAGATGTTCACCAGTATTTATACCGTCGAGGTTACCGAGATGTTCACATTTTACGACAACGACACGGTGGGAGAGCCCGACCCGGACGTGACCACTTGGTTTCCCATGGAGTTCCAGATCGGGGCGCTCTGGTTCCTGTTCGCGATCGGCGTTCTGGGCAATCTACTCGTGTTCCAGTGGATGAGGTTTAACCGCCACCGTAAGTCCAGAGTGAATACCATCGTCTTAGGCATTGCCAGTGCTGACATGTCTGTCTGTCTCTTTGCCATCATGGCCACTGCCGTCATTGAGATGGCCGGAACATGGACAGCAGGCAACGCCGTGTGCAAGATCGTCATGTACTTCCAGGGTGCCGCTCTAATCAGCAGTGGCAACATGATTGCCATCATGGCCATCGATCGTCACCAGGCTGTTCGCAGCCCTCTCAGTGCTTTCGTCCCCGCCTGGAAACTTGTGGTGGGGGGTTGGGTGACGGCTGGCGTCCTGGCTTTACCGCAGCTTATTGTATGGCTTGTCAAGGAGAAAAGAGGACTCGTGTACTGTGGCACCAACCTATCAAAGTTCCCTAGCAGACGCACGGCTTATCTGACCTACGTCGCATTTATTACCTTCCTGATACCTTTCGTCATCATCAGCGTGGCTTATGTACGGCTATGCAAGACAGTCTGGGAGAAATCTAGGGAGTGCTCAGGGAAACAACGGGACGGTCAGATTGAACTAAGGCGCGTCCCCACGGGCACGCTGACCAAAGCCAAGAAGAAGACCCTCAAGATGACGATTGTCATCATCTCTGTCTTCGTCATGTGCAACTCCCCATATTTCATAGTGGAGATGCTCAAGACCTACCGCCCGTCCGTCGTCTCCAGTAACGTCTACACTCTCTTCAGCCTCTTTGCTGTGGCCAGCTCGGCCTTCAACCCCTATGTGTTTCTCTTCTTTAACGTCACCATTCGGTTCTGGAAGGATATGTTTCCCTGCTTCTCTAAGAGCAGTCCCGAGGCGACCTACAACAGGTACTCAGTCAAGTTTTCATCGTCAAATTCCCGCCAGCACTCCAAGTCGTACAGTGATCCCCACACGCGTGTTACTGACCTAGAATCGGGTGTAACCATCAACTGTACCGACTAATGGTTGAACACTACGGACAACCTTCTCACAAATGGATGTTAAAAGGATTGCAGATGCTAATTATATCCTTCTCCTGCCTCAAGACGCCGCTAGATCCCTGCAATCGACACCACCAAACTCAGACCCTTGGATGTGAGAATTGTAAATTGAGTGAAAGGGGGTTAGTTCATCAGCAAAAAGACTGAGGCAGAAGGATTACATCTGCCTACTTATAATCTTGCTGTGATAAAACCATGATCCATGGTTTAGATTGAACTTGACGATTGATGGAAAACTCGTTGGTGTAATCGTCAGTTAAGGATACATTCAGTTGCTGATCTTATCAACCCTTTTTAAAAATTGTAAGCTTATTCTCAAGTCTAGTTATCAACGATCAATAACTTCCGTGGAAAAAAAGAGCAGTAATCTTAACAGCTGCAAAAGCAGTTACAACAAATGCATCAGGAAATATTTGCATGAGCAGAAATCCCGACGATACCGCGGAAAACAACAGCATTAGGACAACGTTAAATGAGAGAGCATCAGTTCCGACAAAGAATAGCTTGAAAAACCTTTTTCGGTTGTCCTTTTGTGATAAATCAATTTTATTGACAAATTAACAACTAATTCACATCACATGAAAGGTGCATGTACTTAAATGTGGCTTTTAATTTATCTTCATGCTCTCATTCTTTTAGATTTGCAAAAATGAAGAAAAAGACACACTAAGAATGTGTTCTGAGCCATAGTGGCATTGTACACAGACAACAAGAAATCAGCAAAATGAACTGTGCCGAGTTCTGATTTGACCGTACCAGTTCCTTATTTCAATCTATACCTTCATGGTTTTCCTTAAGGGGTGATGAATATCGTCATGTCTCGCATAATTCGGTTTCGGGAATTCATTGCTTGAAGGTTCGCTCTTTGACGAGCTGAATAAGTGAATCTTGTACGGGAATTAAAAAAAGGAAAAAATTGATCAACAGTTACTCCTTCGGGCATAAAGGTGCTCTTAGTTTACACGCGAAAGGCGCCGACCCAGCATACCAAATTCCATTGTAAATAACTCCGGTCTGACTTTCGTTAGACAAGTACATATTGTAAATAACAATGTTCAATGTATATTCATCGAAGGCATGTGAGGTGAAACCAATAATCTTCAAAATATGGCTGTATTTTTACAAGATTGTGAATTGCCTTATTCGTCTCAAGGAAGATACGTGAATGTTTGAATGGATTCTTTTTCGTCATTCGTAAGATACCTCGTTGTAAAGTGTAAAAAAAAAAATAGATTAGATGTATGAGATCTTCAGAATCTGGGAGATGTCTTGTATGCATATAATTGTCTGAATATATTTTGTCGTGGTTTAGATCCTGTATTGTTGATATATATTCGAGGGTGCGGAACGTTCGAAGTTTACAACCGTGCACAATTTTCCAATGTAAATAACCCGCATGTTTGCTTGAGAGGATCTCGATTTTTCTGGAGCAATGTTTACGAACCAGTCTGACGAGGTCGGGATCATATAAAATCAACTTACCGTTCTTCGAAAAGCAAACGTTTGCTCCCAAATACATATGTTTGCCCCTAAATACATATAATTATCGTAGAGTTTGGTGGGAGTTCTTAATGCGATGAAATTGTTGAGCGTGTAAGTATGGATTATAGCAAGCAAGGCAAGACCAATAAGGACAGTGTGTGAATATGAGAACATTTCTTGCGAGGTAAAGAGTGACCTGCTTAGAATATTTGTGTTTGCCTCACCGAGAGCGAACCTGTTATTTATACCAGTTGCGGCATTATCCTTACTTTACAAAAACAAAACCCGAGGAAAAATACTAAAAGAATTCATTTCCAAAACGCGTTATACGCCATTTTGTTCCCTTTTGGAATCCTGCTCTCTCCTGGCTGCCCATGTTTTGATTTACCGAAACACCACTTTTCGAATGAATTGATGGTTTTGAATTTTCAACTATGAATTTTTATCTGTCAACGTAATCAAGTTTAAATTAGATCTTACCAATCTATGTTATCTGTGCCAGAAGGTTCAACTATATTCAATAAGCGAAGGTTAAACTTTATTCAATTAGCCAATTCCGCAAAGCAGGACAAGACGAAATCTAAACTAAAGTAAATATGATCGAGATTTTCAAATCGATGCAGTTGCAACAAAATCTTTCCAAACATCAACCATAAAAGACTTACTTACGAATTAAAATAATTCGATTGACGGAACCAAGCTATTAATCCGCAACAAAGATGACCAAAGCAAACCAAGTAAAACCAGAATCTTCCCACCCCCCACAACGTAAATGAACAATTTAATCTTAACTATTAAGTTTTAACCCTACATACTACACCAAACGTACCCAAAGAAATCAAATTCAACCAGCTTAAGCAAACAAAATATAACTAGACAAATAAAAAAAAAAAAACCAATCCATCAAATTTCAACGCCAGACTGCCTACCCGAACCATGAGTCATCCCAACACACATCTTGCAAACTCTATGTCAGTCTCAAATGTCCAAATGTCGATTCAAATCCGTGGAAACAAAACAAAACACCGTTTACAGATGAACAGAAATGTGTTCGTTTTGCCGCATCAATTATGCTGTGCTTCAACTCCAAGCCAAGAAAGGATGTTGTGCAGTACTGGATGGGAGCATTGGCACTGTGAGCGGTGTTGATTCTGAAACAAGATGATGGATGACACTGAGAAGGCAGTGCCTGAGATTGGGAGAGAAGACGGTCAAGGCTTCCACGATTCAAATAAATTGAAATGCACTGATATCTGGTTTTTATTCAATTAAAGCAACATGGATCCCTCGGTGAAATTTGATTACTGAGTATAATTTGCCGTTTCAGCTTAAGCGTTGCTGGTCATATTTTGATGTTGTCGCCAAATGGCGGCAAATGGCATTCTACCCACCTGGGATTCGTCCTTGGTTGTGTGATTTTGAAGGAGCAGAAACAAAACGAATTGACTATTGTCAAACGCCACACTTTGTTAACTTATTTCTTCTGACTTTCAAAGCATTTAATTTCCAAGAAGTGCTTTAAGGTGAGTCACCGAGCATTTAGCATGCTAAATAATTACATCTGGAGAATATTGAAAGTGGGATTTTGAGAGCGAGAACGAGGTTGGTACGGCGTGTGTTCGTTTATCCATATAGATTCCCATGTTGATGTAGCGATGAAAAATAATTGGGGCACGAGTTATCATAGTTTGTAGTATGCAATGACCTCCATTGTTAGTTAATTCAAGTAACCTTGAATAGATTTTTTGAAAAGTTATGTATAGGCAGTTTATAACTTGACTAACCATAAAGCAACATTATTGTTCCGTTTTGTTTGAGGATGTAAGGTATACAATTGGACGTGCGAACAAAAAATCTTTCCACCAAGAACCGTAATTGGTTGATGGCAAAGACTGCCGAAAGACGGGATAGCTTAGCTATTCTGTCTCTAGTTCAGAAACTAAGACCTTTCTGCTTATAGTGCCAGTCGACACATTACCAGACCTATAAAAATCAGCATCTGGTACGTGTTTATGTCTGACCCATTTTAGGTTTTTTTTCTTCTCTTTATCCAACAAGCCAAATGGTACAGACTTATACGGCTGTATGTATCACCGACGTTAAAGGTAATACACAACACTGGTACTTTGCTTTTGCTGTAATTTTCAGAAATGGACGGATTTGGAGGTTAGTATATTGTAGCAAATTATCGTTCCACTGACCTGTTGAAAGTTTTGTGTCCATGGATGCCGACTAAATAGGAAGAAATGCTGTTCTTGTAGTCTGGTTCTCTGACCCTACTTCAGACGAAACAGACATTTATGGACGACAGGGAATTGTCGGGTCAGGGAACTATACAAACTGGCTCGCACCCATTCACGGATTTGTAACTGATGGCAAACAAAATGTGGACTCTACCTAAATTTGGTGAATTGGGGTCAGTAATTGAAAAAATGCAAACATTTCCACTTTTCTTGAAAATGACAGCATACCAGGTGCCACTATTATTCGCCTACAGTCAATAAGGTATTTCGTAATAATTTGGTAGTTCGTTGTATAATTTTTGCAAATAAATGTTGTACATACCATTAAGGGATTGTGTAAAATGCTTCAGCGTACTTATTTCTGCAGAAACTCGGAGCACTGACCGAGCATTTATGAAATCGGTGTTTTCGGTATGTAGCAGATGTATATAATTATACCAACCACGCTTCAGGGTTAAATTTCTCGGAGTCTTGAAAAATTGAATAAATGCATAGCGCTGTCTTCGATTTCACGGAGTAGTGTCTCTATACTTCCTTATGTATAATTGTGTCTGAAGAAATTACCAAAACTGCCGCGGGGAATAGAAATATCAAATGTCCGTCAATAAAATTCGAATGATACAGTACACTGCGAAGACAACTTTTTTTGTCATGTTAAACTCTTTAACCTGTTTCTCCTATCATTTTCCCGGCTTTCTTCTCTAATTGCAGCAGGCAACGTCTAAATTACAACGCACAACTTGATATGTGTGTCGATAACTTGTATTTTATGTATTACTAAAAAGGGTATCTGTACACTATAAATATTTTTCTCGAAATTGTTTCCTTGTAAACCAGTCATGATATCGAAGCGTCATTGATTCAAACCGGTGCGGTAAGGAAGTGAGCATTTCCTGACGCACTGACCCGGAATCGATTACTCGTAATCGAATTGACAGTTCGGTATATCCGGGTACCATCACCTTTGATCTCGAGCGCATCCAAAGCTCGAATCTGTCACGATGGAGTGTTTTGCAGTGCCGAGCCTACAAATACGTGGCATCCCCGCAGGCGTGAAAATTCTATTTACTGCCATTCATTCCAAGGTGAATTGATGGGCTTGACATGCAGTGTTTTGTTAAAACCGGTGTGTAGTGTGAAATTTGGACTCTATGAAACACAGAGTCATTGGTTGTATTGCGCATGCCTAAGGCCCAAAAAAAAAAGTCTCTGGTTTCTGGTAAGCGCGCACGTCGCCGTAGCCATGCGCGACAGCAAAATGAAAAGAAAAAAAAATCAATGAAAGATGATGTCTTAAAACCGCCAAACTCACTGGTTTGACTGGAATCCTGCTGCTGCACAATTTTAACGTGTTTTTAGATCGGGTTATGGTCGAGAATAAGCTTTATGTGGCCTCTCTGGACTCCCATATATTTGCACTAAGTTTAGTCGGGCACCATTTGCAGTCATCAGCCGACATTTGAAGCAAAAAAATCAGGTAAAAAAAAAAAACAGCCGCGTCGCTGCACCACTTTTTGGGCAAGCTCCATACCAGAAACCGGAGACTTTTTTTTCTTGGCCTAAGCGGTGATAATTAGGAAAGCGACAGGTCACGTGTTAGGTTACGAGTCCATTTAAGGTAAAAGAGACCACATTTCATGGAGTCCCAATTTGATATGAGAAATATTATGTGGCCGTTTATGAGTATATAAAACATTTTAAAAATATTTTAACATGTGTTGGCAACTAAAATAAGAAACGAAATAATCTGAATGCTATATATGTTAATGTTAAATAAGATCGTTCAATAAATGTAAAATTTCATAATTGTGTTAATAGTAATATGAAATTCGTGCATGAAACGACGGCTCCGTCAAAACAAATAAAACTTGGTGCGTTGGACTTCATATTGTGTGTAAAGCTATTTTATCAAAAAAAAATGTATAAATATCTTATTTATCATTAAGTGTATATAGTGACTATAATGGACAAAGAACTATTTTGATATTGGGAGGAGTACATAAGCACACAACCCTTACTCATCTGTATTAATTTACTCTCCTGAGTACATTTGTGCCTGGGTGTTTTCCCGTTACCCATTAACATTTCCCGAATTATGTCTTAGGTATGCAAGAATGCGCATATATGGAAACGATAATTTATGTATCAGTAGAGTTTGTGTGTTATACTGTGAAAGTTTATAATGTTTTACCATCAATTGACTATCAATCGAAATAAATGCAGCAGTGTTCGCGATTCCTTTATCATCTGTTTGTCTTTGCAATGGAGATAGTCTATATTTAAGAAAAATCGTAATTTACGGGTGTGTTTTCCTCTGGGCCTCAATAAGTCCAGACAAAAACATCACCACTGGACCGTACTGAGGTATGATAACGCATGTCGTACGCTAGTCTTGGCAAGACGTCAGTGATTAATAACGATGTTTGCATTGTTGTGGAGCGCCCTTGCACATTTTTTTCCCTTCAGTTTACTATCTCGCACTAAGGGCCCTGTCACACTTCTGCGTATCCTAATTGCTTATGAGTTGCGCATTGAAATTTTTTTCATACGCAGTCGTACGCACAATACGCACCTCATATGCATCTCTATCGTTTTGTGTAAGTTTTATGTACGCAGGCATGCGCATGTTACGGCCCAGTACGCTGGATAGTTTTGGGCATGCACAAAACTACGCTGCGTACGCTGTTACGCAGGTCATAAGTTATAAATACGCAGCGCATCGGTCCCGCATCGGTCGAGCACGGTACGAGTACGCTATGTGTTCGTGGGGGATAAGCGGTTCATACGCAGTAATACGCTGACCTCCCGGCACGCACCCCGTCAGCATGATGAGCCGCCTATATTGGACGTATACATAGCGTACTTGCAGCGCAGATACAACGCACGCTGAACGAACTCATAGCGAATGCGGTCGGCATAAGTCGGGTGCGTCCGGAATACACTCAGCATGCGCACTGCATACTGACCTATTCGCAGCCCGAAAAATAATGTTGTGCACTGCATACGCAACTCATACGCATCTCATACGCAATGGATGCGCTGAATTCGTTACTTGTACGCTAGATGTGCGTCGCACATAAGTCAAAGTGATCAAAACATTTCGACGTTAATTGAGCGTACGGCTGCGTATTGAAAATTTTGATAAGGAACTCATAAGGAATTAGGATACGCAAAGGTGTGACAGGGGCTTTATCTTAAGTCATGATTAGACTTAGGGAACCAATCAGCGATCGCGAAATGGTTTATAGTCATACACACTACGTGCGGTGACCAATCATTGCTAATTTTTCAACGCGGTGATAGCCCGTGCGAGTGCGCGACTAAATGGGAAGCTGCCGTTTAGTTCGAAGATATTAATATTCACACCAACGGTCTAATTTACATAAAATGGCCACGCCCCATTGCTGCAAATTTCCCAAGACGTTAAGCCCCTGTCACACCTTTGCGTATCCTAATTCCTTATGAGTTCCTTATCAAAAAATTTCAATACGCAGCCGTACGCTCAATTAACGTCGAAATGTTTTGATCACTTTGACTTATGTGCGACGCACATCTAGCGTACAAGTAACGAATTCAGCGCATCCATGAGTTGCGTATGCAGTGCACAACATTATTTTTCGGGCTGCGAATAGGTCAGTATGCAGTGCGCATGCCGAGCGTATTCCGGACGCACCCGACTTATGCCGACCGCATGCTTGACGCACTTCTGAGCGTATTCCCGCCGCATTTCCGCCGCTCGCCGTCCAGCGTGCGTTGCATCTGCGCTGCAAGTACGCTATGCATACGTCCAATACAGGCGGCTCATATGCTGACGGGGTGCGTCACGAACACATAGCGTACTCGTAACGCACGCGACCGATGCGGGACCGATGCGTTGCGTATTTATAACTTATGACCTGCGTAACAGCGTACGCAGCGTAGTTTTGTGCATGCCCAAAACTATCCTGCGTACTGGGCCGTACCATGCGTATATCTGCGTACATAAAACCTACACAAAACGATAGAGATGCATATGAGGTGCGTATTGTGCGTACGACTGCGTATGAAAATTGTTTTCAATGCGCAACTCATAAGGAATTAGGATACGCAGAAGTGTGACAGGGCCCTAAGCACGATCCACTATCGATCACTAGCGTCTTGGGCCTAGATTAGCCCCACGCACGCACTCATTGCTACAACTTGTATACCGGAAAACGCGCTCCCTTCTCTACTGACCATTAGAAATGGATAGGCCTATACGTGTGTGGCTCGGGAACAAAAACAAGCTTGCTATTAAAATCACAATTTGTAACATTATTTCACCAAATCTACATACATCTTAACAATTTGATGTGAAATTGCACATAGCACATGTCAGATGAATTAACCAAGCAATATAGTGTTTTAACGTGCACTTTTCTCGAGCCGCATAATACGTATCCAGAACGCGTACCATTTATAATAGTCCCTAATGGTTCGTTCTTTCTTTTTTAAGATGCGTCTAACAAGTACGCAGGCGCCCTGCCACATTAGTATGTCTCTTTGTAGTTGATTTAGCAAATTGAGCAAATTGCGCTTACAAACAAACAAACGGGAATACAAACAAACGGGAATCCAAGGTTTTGACGACGATATGCTAACACATTACTCTAATTCCAAAAAAATTGAAGTACATTTCCTTAAAGCTATAGTCCATCATTTGCAGCCATCCAAAAAGTAACTGGCATAATTATTGTTGAAAAACAACCTTGGTTGAAAGATAGTAAGGGAACTAAACTCCCTGTGAAATTATTCTTTCTGGGAAGCTGTCATTTTGAAGTAATCAACGAAAGAAGGCATTTCCAACGGTGATTCTTAAGAAGCACCGTAGGAAAATTTAAATTAGTAGTTCGTTTTGTTATTCAGCGCAGCGCGCACAAGTATTGTAACGACGCACACGCGCGCGCGGTTGTTATAATTCGTCGGATCAGTGCGCGACGTCGCGTATAGCTGCAATTCAAAACAATTCAAAACATGATTTAGTAACTTTTGATTTGAAATTGAGATCTTAGAATGCTGTTTTTCTCAGAATGTACAGCTGAAGCTTAGCTGAAACTTCATCAGGTTAGTTGCTCAGTATCCTTCATTAGATTTTGAACTCTCTTGTTGCTTCAAACGAACAAAATGCACAAATTACAAATGATGGACTGTAGCTTTAATAAACGAGTTCGGTATTCCAAAATAGTCTGGTGCACAACTAGATTTGACGATTTTTTTTTTCGGGATAACCGCAGCTGGATAAATGCAAACAAGACTATGGAGGGGGCGTGTGGTAACCGAATGCGCATTCTGTGCAATTTTTCTCC